ATTGTTTATTTCAAATATCAATTGTATAACTTAATTTTTTGTTTTGTGAATTATATCTAAATTCTATTTAGGATATTAATAAGGGACTAAAAACACCTGAAAACATAACTAAAATAATAAACACTGGTTTTCTTAACTTAGCTGTTAATTTCAAGACGTTTGAATATGGTACAAAGTTTTACACAATTGTTTGTGTAAAAAAATGTATATTTATAACTGAAATTGTTTTCATTGAACTGTTTATTCATGTTTGGACTTTTAAAGTTTGTTATTGGAATGATTCAGCGTAATGGACTAATAGAAGAGAGGGAATTAAATAATGATGGGATGATTAATTGAAATTGGAAAAATTGGCTATTTTTTGGGAATCGGAATCAAGCACATCTCATCACAATTTCTGATTCTTAAAATATTTCTTCCACATTTAATAAGAAAATTAATTATTTATTTCAGTTGAAGATTAAAATATAAATATTTATATGCGTTCTTTATATCAAAAGATTGCATCAGATATTAATGCAAAAATCACATACAGACATAAACTGGGTATATTCAAACTGCTTTGAAATGAGAAACATCAAGCAGACATAGAAAGAGCATGGGGGAATATAAAATTCCACTAAAAAAACAACAGGTTTGATAGAGACCTTTTATGCAACAGATCTACTAAAAGGTCTTTCAAGCAGCACCTTCCTGAACATAAAGCTGATACAGAAAAGAAAAACAGCTGCCTTGGCCATATATGCAAGTGATAATGAGATCAAGCCAGAACTTAAACAGGTTACCCTAATATGAAGAACATACCATACAAACCAGCTTAGAAATTTAGAAGGATTGGAAATGTTTAAAGCAGATCTCCAGGGCCTCTATATCAGTTTCAAATAAGAAAAACAAATTTCAAGGGCATGTCAGGCTATATTCGACCCATTATAGTAAGCATTGCAAACACAGCCTATTGGATATTCAACAAAAAAATTTTAGAAAAGAAAATGTTTGAATTTGAATACATCAGAATCTTATATGCATTTCAAGCTAGAACACTAGCATTGGAGAGATTTGAATTTTAGGGAAATTCGTCTGAGGAAGATCCTACGTGTGTACTGAAAACATTTGTAACAGTTTTCACAATTATGTATTCACAATAACTTTATGTGGAGCTTGTATTTACAAGCCCCACATAAGGTTAGTGAGTTTTATTTATATTGAATAACATCTTGCTGTTAGAATATTATATTTAGCAGATTAAAATTTTTAAAAATTGTGATAATATTAAGTATTAGTTTATTGAAAACTTCTGTTGACAAAGCAGAAAATATGAGATGCCCCATCACAATGAGAGATTGCACTTAATCAATATTTAATCAATACTAACTGTCCCCATTTTATGGGAGATAGGGTGACATTAGGTTGCTACCTGGTCATTATTGGGCAAGTTAAACCAGCAATTTTAATTAAAATCAAGGCCAGCAGTTGACAAAAACATTTAAGTTTCAGTGAAGCATTTTAAAATATAAACAAAACTATATTTGAATTGAAAAAATATTATATAAAATTATTTTTTATATTTAATATGTTTATTTATAATGGTAAAATGATGCTCATTATAAATATGAAAGCTTTTATGTTTCACTGATGATGCTGTACTGTGTTAAATTTTCAAATGTGAGTCACATGATTTTAAATAGAAGTACTTGTTTATGCTAAGTCTACTGCTGTTTTGAGTTTAAAAAATTTATTTATTTTTTAAGATGAGTAAGTCTAAATATTCATCTGATTCTTCTTTTCCTCGAAGAAAAATTCACACAATTGTACATTTAAGAAAATCTGGCTCAAGTGAATGAATTCAAAAATTGGTTAACTCATGATGATGATATTTGTTTAGCTTGTTGCATCATTTGCTGAATATCATTCAGTGTTAAAATATGATGGAATTAAAGCATTTACAAGGCAGTCTGATTAAGAGAAGTGTGGAAAAAGAATGCATCTTTTCATTTACCTTGACCCCCCCCCTCCCCAGTCATGTTGTCCTGTGAAGCCAGTTTCCGAAGATAGCAAACCTAGGTGACATGATGGGATAGTTCTTTGAGTAAAAGCAAATTAGCTGAAATTTCTTTGGGGATAGTGTTGCAATATTAACTTTATCTGAAATAAGATTACAAATCTATTTTGTAGTACACAACAAAAACAGGAATATCCACATATAAATGGAAAATTTTTAGATTTCTTTGAAAAATCCAGAATCAATACTTCAAATCATTTTCAATTCTTAAGCTTGATGTTTATTAATGAATGGAGCATGCTCATAATGTAAATCATTAATTTTTCTAAACCAAACTAAACTTTAGAAAATATTCAAAAGAATCGGAATTGTCAATCAGAATAAATTTTGGTATCTCCTTGCTAGAATTAAAAAAAAATATATTGCTCTATTTAGACATACACATTTGTATCTTTTTGATATTGACTACTGTTTTTTTATGAAAAAACTTTATTACCAGTTATTTATTTTTAAATTCAGATATAAATATTTACTAAATATTTTATAAACATTCGAGAGCCAATTAACCAAGACTGAGACCTAAGAAATCAATTTAACTGAAATTTGTAGGAGAGAATAGTGTTTTGTTAACAAAGACAGAATGTAGTACAGTACAGCTTATTTTACAAATCTTGGCCAGTCAGTAAATAGAATTAAATGCATTATAAACATTTGATTTCTCCAAATGTTTTAAATGTGTTTGATTTATATTATTTTATGATTTTCTTTAATATGTAACCTGATGATAACTCATTTAAACAAGTTAAAAACATTTGTTTTGAACCTAAATATTTCACTGTTTTAGTATTATTTCTGTTAGTATATTTAAAAAGATGGATAAATTTATAGATATCAGTTAACAAACTGATAAATAAAATTATTATTGTATAAGTAAATTATTATAATTTTATATTTAATTAATACCTAGCTAAAATTCTTCTTAACTTCTACAACAACATTGTATCTCGCTGATAATTATTTATTAACCAATAACTAACATTTTCAACCTGTTATATAGGCCATCTTCAGGTTTTAAAAAATCATGGAACATTGATAACCATTCTTTTGGTATAGAATTTTGTATTTTAAATGTGTTCTTATCTGTTCTATACAAAAACAACAGTTATCAATGTTCCATGATTTTTAAAAACCTGAAGATGGCCTGTAGAACAGGTTAAAATATTCATTATGGTTAATAAATAATTCTCAGTGGATAAGGTGTTGTTGTGGAAGTAATATTTTTGATTTGTACAGATTTAAATTTATTGGTTTTAATTTTGCAGTTAAGAATATTTGACATATATAGCATCATTCAGTCCTTTATTGTTTCCAAATCACCATCACAGAGATGGTTAAAGGAATCTCTAATTCGTCTTGTTATATTAGTATCCAGTGCTCTCTGTTTATTGATTGCAAGACTAAAATTAATGGGATCACAGTTACCAGTTTTCACAAAGTAAGTTAGTAAATTTCCTTCATTCCACATTATTTTAAATTATAATTTAATATAAAATTTAAAAAATTATGATTCTAAATTAATTCTTTCAGAAGAAAAATTTTAAGGAAAACTTAAAGTAAAATTTTTAAAAGTAATATGAATTCTTAAACTTATGATTATTGTGACTTGAAAATTTTGAAGATAAATTAGGAGTTTAATTTACTTTGTTTTTTATTTATTTTAAAATATTGCCTTAAGGATTTCAGACTTCTTGAAATTTTGTATTATTATTGTTATTAAGCATTTATTTTAAATACAAGAAAAAATTATTTTAGTAATATAGAAATTTATTTCTACAGATTTGACAATCCTGCAGCTGTATCTGAAACACCAATTCGACAACTCACGTATAATTATTTATTGCCTGTCAATGCATGGCTCTTACTTTACCCATACAATTTATGTTGTGATTGGACAATGGGGACCATTCCACTTGTAGAATCATTCCTCGATCTAAGAAATTTGGCTACATTGGCACTCTACTGTGCAGTTGGAATAATGATTTGGAGAGCTATATCATCAGATGATGAACAGTCAAATATTTTAATTATTGTGAGTTTTTTATCATTTGGATTACTACATTTTCTTATTTTTTATTGTAATTCTCAAATTTTAAAATAAAGAGCCATTTAATGAGAATTCTGAAAATTTTAGAATATAAATTAATTATAGTACTGCAGTAAAACGTTAGAAATTTATTATAATGATAATGAATATAACACATTAAAATTATCAATAGAACTGTTTACAGAAAACAAGTTAATTTATCTTCCAAAACGAATGGTTAACTTTATAACAATACATTTATTAATTAATATATAAAAATAACTTTATTGTCATGTAAATTGTAGTGATAGTTAAGAAATGTCAATATTTTGAATTTAACTCATTTTGCTTTTGTAATTTATGTCATATATAATTGATCATTTCATACTTAATTTTCTTTTAATTTCATAAAACATCTAAACAAAAAAATAAAATAAACTATCTACTTTATGGAAGTCTTATAAAAACTGACAAACATTTTTGTGAATTACGTCCCATTTTCAGAAACTAAATTCCTTGAATTCATTTAAAGAATTAATTTGAATGGATTCAAAGAATTTAGTTCAATTTTCAGATGTAAAGATGAGAAATAATTTTTGAAAATTTTTTATTGAATTTTTTTTATAAGAAACTTTTTTAAATTAAGAAGTTTGCTTTATTATTATTGTTTAGATTGAATAAAGGAGTCAATTTAATGTCAACTTTTATAGAATGTATTGAGTTAAAATATTTTAAAAATGCTTAATATAGGAAAACTAAGAATAGAATTTAAATATCAATAAATGCTTTCAAGGTTTTTTTTGGCTTCTGCATTAGATAATTTAAAAACCATTTGAACACTTCAGGAACATGTAGTTTTAAAACACCATTTAAAGACAATTACATAGTCTTATTTTCAGAATTAAAATTTTAAAAATTCTAAACAGTTTCCTCAGAGACTTTAAAGCATAAAACATTTAACAGTATTAAGTAAAAGTACAGTAGTACCTCAGGATACAAAATTAATTCGTTTCAAAACTGAGATTGTATAATGAAAATGTTGTAAGATGAATCATTTTTCCCCATATGATTACATGTAAAAGCAAATAATTCATTCCAACATGAAAAAACACTCAAATTAAAGCTAAGTAGTACATTAAAAAAAAAACTTTAGTAAGGAAAACACTGAAAAATGCATTTTTATAGTTGTAAATGTATAAATAACCATAATAGAATAATAATTGATAAAAAGAAATGTAGTTTTATTTGCACTTTACCTTTGAGGATAGACGACAGTGGAGGTGTAAACTGGTGGTGGAAGAGTGAGAGAAGGGAAATGATACTAAAACTTAACTTACATAACATAATGTAACAATAACTTTAAGAAAATATATAAGACAGAAAAGTTAAAAAATTAGTGTTATTTTTAATTTTTTATTCACTGCTTTTTGCTTTCTTTTCTTCACTTTCACCAGCACTTTCACTGGATAGAGGTTGCTTGGTAAAATATCTATCCAATGAGCTTTGCCTACTTTTTAAAATGTTTCTAAAATGACTTAGGCAAATGTCATTACTATGAGCAGCAATACGGCCAGTGTGAACCTTTATGGGATGTTTTTTTTCAATAAAATCAGTCACTTTCTGATAATACCTCAAGATTTCCTTTATTGAGCGAGATTATTCCACAATGAAGCAACACTGATGAACAGAAGTGAATAAAAAATGGCACTGCAAACTAATGTAATGTCGTATGGTGAGTTTTTGTTCGTATCATGGAACAAAAATATGTTCGAATGTTAAAATATTCAT